ATTCTACGGATTTTGGATTGGAGTGCCTTGAAATTCGAAGGCAAGCCCCGGGATTAGCCCAACTAGTAGGAAGGGTACCGCGAGAGAATCTGTAGTGTCCTTCACTACGAAAAGGGAGGCGCACACATCGCTCAAAATGCGCGGTTAAGGCGCTAATCGCTAAGGTGCTGCAACCATCGACCCTATTGCAACGCTTCCCACCCACCGCCATTGATGTGGAGATCAGCGCGCTCTCTCGAACGGCGTGCTCTCTCGCGTGTTTTGTCTTCTTTGATCGCCCTGTCTCGCCTTCGTACTACATCCGACCTTACTGGAGGTCAAGGCCTTAATTTCAGCACTTCCTATAATTTCTCTTACTTTCTTTTCCACTTTTAGTTCATTTGCAGCTCATGCATAAGTATGGTGCGCTCCTATACACCAGTTTTATTCCGAGGCTTGCCTTTAAAAGTATAACATTATTCGATGTATGGCGTGCGAACGACTAAACACGTTCTGTGCCTAAAAATGTGCGGCTCGTTTGGGAGAACGACAGTATTCTCTCGACCTTTCATGAGACGGGGACTTCGTGTGTTGCTCCAGCGACTTGGTAAAGTGGGAGCAGTCCCTCTCACTAACAGTACTCATTCTTGAAGTAGAGTCGCTCGTAATTTAATATTACTACCTCGAATAGCATGATTTCGAGAGCGGGGTAAAAAAAGCGACCACGTTGACATATTCGTGGTCATAATCTCATCAGAATAAAATTTTATCCCAGGATTGAGAGGAACACATCCTCATATTTCATGCCAGTGGAAATCAGAGTCGAAAACGGGAAGCTTCCAAGTGGGAGAAAGAGGAGAAGGTCATTGTAAAGGGGTCTCTGTGTCGTGAATCGCTATGAACTGGAAGTCTCAAGGGCAACTAGCGTATCTACAAAATTGCGAAGTAAAGATGAAAGTGATTTGCGACTTTCTTCATGACAAGCATAACATACTCGATATCGGTAAGTTGGGGTGGGCGTGTCACCGGAAGTGACGTGCACTTGATAGAAACTATGTGGATAAGCTGCTTCCAACATACATCGCTGGCTATCAGCAAAGCATGCTGGCAACAGCTTATCCACGCACTTCTATCAAGTGCACGTCACTTCCGGTGACACACCCACCCGGATATCGACTGTAACAACATTTATTTATATCGGAACACTTTTTATAGTGCAAAAAGCAATCGCACAGTCCAAAGGCCAGCCACTCTTCGACAGCGGTGCTATGCATATATTTTGATATGGAGATTGGGCCAGCTTCAATAATGTGAGGCAATCGATCAGACGGGTTTCACTATTGTCGAGAGCGCACTTTGTTGACATGTCTGTCGGATCAATTTTGGCGTCCAAACTGCCTTTCATCGTTTTCTGCCTATTCGCTACGATAATCTTGTACGGATGCGCTGCTACATCTTAATCTTCTACTTTTCTGCGCTGCCCAGATGCCATAGCCTTCTTGGCTTCGGTACAACTCAGTCGGTTGCAGTTGAAGGTGAA